ACACGTGCACACTTGCACGCACAATTCACAGGTGCCCGTACACATCTATGTGTGTATACACATGCATGAGTGTGCACACAGACACAGCTGCACTAAATGAATCGCTTCACTGTTGGAGCTTCCTGGGCATGCTCATACGCTCCACGCCCCGAGAGACAGAGAGAAATCTCCTATTTGCTAGTTCACCCCCCAAATGCCCTCAACAGCCAGGGCTGGGTCAAGCTGGAGCCCAGAACTCAATCCAGGTCTCCCATATGGGTGGCAGGGACCCAAATACTTGAGCCATCACCAGCTGCTTCTAGCGGTACACCTGAGCAGGAAGCCAGAGTGGAGGACAGAGCCGAGACTCGAACCCAGGCACTCCACGGCGGGATGCAAGCATCGCAGGCAGCAACTTCACTTCTGCATCTAATACCTGCACCAGCGTGCCTGTGTTTTGACTGGAACTTGTGACATGATGTCAGGTGTGGAATTTTCCATTTATGACATCATGTTAGTGCTCAAAAATTTCAGATTTTGAGTGTTTTTGGATTTTGGATCTTTGGGCTCCTGAGAGTTGATCTGTATAACCCTCTAGTGATAATTATTCCCACAGTCACAGCATCACTTGTTTGTACCCTGTGTCCACAAAACAGGTGCACACCCCACAAAGTGCTCTCTGCACGATGGTTTTCCGCTCAGAGCCCATTTGTCCTTGCCCGTGGTGATGCTTGGGTGGCATCCCACCGCACACACGCTCCGATCTTTATTTAAACCATCCCCCGCCCTTGACATGAGGTAGTCCCTCGACTTGCAACCCTGGTAGGACTATAAACAATACAGCAGTGAACATCCCAGAACAGACATCATGGAGTGCACCTGATCAAAGCCTGCAGCCATGAGTGGCGAGTACACGCCAGGAGCCAGGAGCTTCTTCCAGGTCTCCCACACTGGTGCAGGGGCCCAAGGACTTGGGCCATCTTCTACTGCTTTCCCAGGCCATAGCAGAGAGCTGGGTCAGAAGTGGAGTAGCCGGGTCTCAAACCGGCGCCCATGTGGGATGCTGGTGCTTCAGGCCAGGGCGTTAACCTGCTGTGCCACAGTGCCGGCCCCTCTCTCTCTCACTTTTCTACAACTACTTATTACCAGCCTAGAATTTCCTTTTTAAAAAAATATCCATTGTCCGAGGTCCATCTCCCCGTCTAAAACAGAAGATCTGTTAGCACGGGGCCAGGTGGAGCCAGCAGCTGTCTGTCCCCCTTTGGACATTCCAGGAGGAGAACGAAGCTGCAGCCTCGGAGGCGGGACTGGGGGCGGGACTGGGGGCACGGGCCCTGCTCCAGGGCCCGCCTCTCCCAAGCAGCTGCTGGGGGTGATGAATGGAGCCATGCAGGAGTGCCAGTGGCAGGTAGGGGGTTAATTTGCTGTCTCCCAGGGTCAGATTCAGAGTGGAATTCAAGGGCTTGAGCAGATCTCTCAGGGCCTGCCTCGGGCTCTGTCCAGGGACTGGTGCAGCAGGCGGGATGGGATACCCAATGGAGATCAAGCTGGCCATGGTTGACACTGGCTCCGCCTGTTGACGCTTGGTGCAGCTGTCTGAAGGCTGTGGATGCTCGTGGTCAGAGGGCGGGCTCAGGACTGAAGAAGAGGCCCCAAGCTCTTACCCTCCAACCGCCCACAAGGTGACAGCATCCTGACATGCAGATGTCTTGTGTCTGGAAGCAGAAGCCTTGTTCCATGAACACTCACTGAGCACCTGCTGTGCACTGATGCATACTCATTGCCACGTGCGGTTTCCTGCCGCCCTTCCTGCGGCTCTGTGAGTTGTTACACTGAGTGCAGAGAGGATCATTAAGTTGCCCCAAATCACCCAGCTCCCCTTCGACCTTGTTCCTTAGCTGTGCATGGTACGGCAGAAAGCAGGGGAAATCTGCAAGGGTTAGGACTGAAATACTCGACCGGGCTTGGTGCAGGGCCCGGGGTGGTTCTGACACGGTGACAACTGTGGCGGGGAGCGTGCTGCCTCTCAAGAGTGACCCCAGTGACCACGGAGGGACCGAGTCGGCCCAGTGTGAGATCGTCTCCAAGAGCGAAAGCAGCTGTCATTCACTCCTTAGAAATTGGTATTATCAAGGCCTGGAGCCCAACCCTACAATTTCAAGGCACAGCAGGAGCCTGTGGCTCGGGGTGAGCCTGTGGCTCGGCTGTCACCCTCACCTCTGCACAGGAGGGGCACAGCGCTGCCGCCCTATGGCACGGTTTGAAGAAGTCCTTCGCTCTGTCTCCCCCTCTGCAGCCCAGGGCTGTGCCCCCCATGCCGGCACCTCACCCTCCTGGAAGTTCACAGGGCTTCCCGGCTCCTGGTCTTCCCTCCCTCCCGCCCCCGCAAAGGTGTGAGCAGCATGAAGACAGAAGCCAAATCCCTGCCCAAGGGGCCGATGACTGTGTGACCCCAGAAGCAGTGAGGGGCCAGACTCCTGGGGTGTGGTGGGGGACATGCTGGGGTGAGAGAACTTCAAGTGTCCCTACCTGCTGCAGGGGGCTTCCTTCTTCCGAGTGACAGTCCCCCAGCCTGGGGATGCTGGCCGATTTCCCATTAAACCCAGCAGCTTGTGGGGCAGCGTTAGGGAGGAAAGGAGCACCAGGAGCCATTCTGAAGGGTTGGGGGGGAGGGGCCCAGGGCCACCCACGCGTGGCATTCCCTTGCACTAACGCCTTCGCAAACTGGTCTGGGAAGGGGATTGGAGCTGCCTTGGGTGTGCTGAGCGCCACCCCACCGTGCTGGGGAGTTCTTCCTTTGTAGACTGCCAAGGCCCTGAGCCCACTGCTGCAGGTGAGCTCCAGGAGAAGCCGGGAAGCCCGGTGGGGGGCCCAGGTTACAGGGTCTCCAGCCGTGAGGGAGCATGCAAGTCTCACACCTGTGCCGGTGAACATGCTACAGTGCCCCTGGAGAGAAGCCTCCACACAGCACCTGATGCAGTTCACCAGTGTCAATGAAGTTCCGGCAGGCACAGCGGAGGGCACCCTGGACCAGGCCAGTGCCACTAGAAGACAGAGGCAAGAACTTGGACTTGGGGCTGGCGCTGTGGCACAGCGGGTTACGCTGCTGCCTCCGATGCCGGCATCCGGTATGAGCAGCAAGTCACATCCCAGCTGCTCCACTTCTGATCCAGCTCCCTGCTCTTGCACCTGGGAAGGCAGCGGGAGACGGCCCAGGTGCTCGGGCCCCTGCACCCGCGTGGGGGCCCCGGATGGGGTTCCAGGTTCCTGGCTTTGACATGGGCCAGATGCAGCCATTGCAGCCATTTGGGGAAGGGACCAGTGGGTGGAAGATCAATCTCTCTCCCTCTCTCTAACTCTGCTTTTCACATAAATAAAATAAATCCTTAAAAACTTAAGAGAATTTGGCCATTAGCCTCCAGCTGCCATGTCTTTGCTGTGCCCTCAGTCATCCTCATCTGGTCATAACTGCCTGGCAGGTGACAAGACACAGGCCAACTACTCTGTCCAGACCTGGTCCACGGGCAGCTTTCACGCATGGCAGTGATTCTAATGAATGGAGTTCCAACAAAAGGCAGGTCCCCCGGGGGTGGGGCTGACCGAGTGGCAGGGTGGCAGCCCTCTGAAGGGTTCAGAAGCCTGCTACGGAAACGCTCCCGGTCACATGACAAAGTCACCGTCTGACAGACTCCCTGCTGTATAGGCCAGGAGGCGGCTTCCAGCCCTTAGCTGGTCTTTCCAAGTAGAAGCACCTCCACTGCACAGGTGAGGATGCAGCACGGTCCTGAGATCCCCAGGCCGCCAACGGGCAGCCCAGAGCTCCCGACCAGTCCCCACGAGACTCTCAATCGCATCACTTCCCATGGCCCACGGGGGCGCCGAGAGCAAGCCAAGATGCCCTTGCGTACAGGTGGTGCCCAAGGCTCCCCAGAATCTTCATCTGGGCCCCGAGTCCAGGCGGTTTCCCCGCGAGTGTAGTCCCAGATATGCAGCCGGCAGGGGATTGTCAGGCTTAACGGGCACCAGAGCTGCTGAGAGCGGGCGCGTGGGGAAGGCGGCTTTGATGTCACCCCTCACGCTGGGCTGCAGAGAGCCGCTGTTGTCTTATGCAGAGAGCAGTTGAGTGTATCAAAGGGAAGCCGGCCGTTCCATTTGGAGTGATCAATGTTTCATAGCCTGGGTTGTAAGCTGTCGTGAGGATGCTGGAAGGGAATCCGTGTGCCTGGCGGGGTTTGCTGTGCAATGGCTGGAGAGGAGCAGGCGCTGGAGTCCCCACCGACCCTGCTGACCGCGGCCCCTGCGGGCCCCTGGCGGGAGCAGAGCAAGAGCCAACCTTCAGCTTCCCGGGAACACTGCAACAAGGGCGGCGCGTTCGTTCAGCCAAGGCTTTTGCTGAACGGGGTGCCCCACTCAGCTAGGTAGAGAGCAGGGGTCCATGTGGCCTCCAGGGATCTAAGGCCCTAGTCCTCGCCAGGGAAGATCAATTTGGGTTATCATCAAAACGTCTCCAGGAAAGCTGCCACGAGGCGTGGAGGGAGGAGGTCGGAGGCAGCGTGGATTCCAGGGCGAGGGCAAGGCTGGGGTGAAGATGGACTCTCCCCTGGCCACACAGAGCCGGTGCCCGCCCCTCTCGGAATGTCCTCACCTGCAGGGGTCTCTGCCACTTACTCCCCTGTGCACGGCAGGCTCTGTGGGAGGGGCTCAGCTGTTGCCTGACCATGCACTCTGTGCCTGGCCTCACCGTCTGCCTCTGCAGCATAGGACACAGCTGTGGGAGCCCCAGCTCCCCCAGGAACACTCAGGGCACAGTGCAGCTCTGCGCTGCGGCTGCGAGTGAGAGGGATCTCTTCCTAAAAGCTTTCTTGGCTGGAGGGCAAGAGACAGGTTGGGCTGACCCGACCGGAAGCCGCCTTCTCTTCCCAAATGTGGGCAGCACCAGCGAATCAGGAGAGGTTGGGTGTGCGTTCCTGGGAAGGTGCAGCTGTGTCCAGGGGCGTGGAGGCTGTGGCAGCCATGGGACCTCACAGGGTGCCCGCCGTCTCCTCCCCCAGTGCAATTTCACGACTCTTTAGGGGATAAAAGATTTTATTTACTTCTTTCAAAAGCTCCAGAATTCTTCCTGAACATCAAATACCTCCCGGCTAACACATCCTGATGAATAACACGGAGTGAAATAAAACCAGATGGGCCGGCGCGCTCCAGGCTCGGGCTGGAAGAGGTAGGGCAAATTGCATTTGGGGTGAGGCTGGGCCCCAGGCCACAGGAAGCACGCTGGGAGGGCACACAGCCTTCCACGCAGGGACACGCAAGTCCCCTCGCCCTCGCCAGGAGATGGAGCCACGCCGCCTGCCATCTGGCTCTGAGCGAGAAGGGACGAGGGGCCTCGGGCAGCTGCTTGGACCCCAGGACTACAAATAACATCCAACCTGGCGCTGCTGTCCCCGGACGCCACACTCTCTCCCTCCAGGAACGCGGACAGACATAAGGCTACAGGTGGGGCTTCCGCTTCCATCCTGAATTCTTATTCAGCTGTTTAAGAGAGAGAGAAAGACAGAGCGAGCGCCCATGTAGTAGTTCACGCCACAGATGCCTGCAGTTGCCTGGCTCGGCTCGCAGCCGAGTGCCTGGAACTCATTCAGGGCTCTTACCTGGGCGGCAGGAAACAAATCATTTGAGCCATAGCTGTTGCCTCCCAGGGTGTGCGTTGGCAGGAAGCTGGAGCCAGGTACGGAGCCGGGGATCAAACCCAGGTGCTCTGACGTGGGATGCTGACATCATCCCTACCAGGGCAAGTGCCCACCCCGAGCCCCAGCCCTTGGAGCTCGGAGGTGAACGGGGTGGCGGAGCAGCCCAGGGCCTCAGCCTCGGACGTCTCCCTCTGCGCGTGAACTTACTGACAACAGGAGCAGAAGTTCTCTGGGTTCTCCATGATACACACTCCAAAGCAATCCTCGCACCCAGACTGGTGGTCCCAGCAACTTAAGGTCTCCCAGCCTTACCTGGTCTCATCCTCTCTTCTTGGGTATCCCCTTCTTCTCCCTCCCTGCAGGCCCACCTCTGGCAGGAGGCCACACGCTCACACCTACGCAGGCCTCAGGTGGTCCCATTTCTGCCCCACCTGCGCCCTGCTGCCCTGCGGGCCAGCCCCAGCCCTGACACCCTGTCCACGCTGAGGGCCTGCTTTCCAGGCCCAGGGTGTTGGGACACAGGCGTCAGCTGTCTCAGGGGGTTTCCGCACGGCACTTGCCTGCTTGCAAGGGAGAATGTGTGAGGCAAACAGGGAGTAGGAACCGCTGCTGAGGTTTCCATGTGCACGCTCGGGAGAGCGACCGCCTGTAGCACGCATGTCTTAGGTGGAGCCGGGAGATCCCACGGGGCACAGTGGGGGGTGGCATGGAGTCACTGGGGTGCAGCCAGGAGTGACAGCTGGCTTCTCATCTGTCCGGGTCCCAAGGCCCAAGGTTGAACCCCAGCCTGTCCGCCTTTACAGCTTCTTCCAGCAGACCCTTAGTGGGGGCCCCGGGCTTGGGTTCATTGTGGCAGCCCAGCTGCAGCCCTGCCTCGGCCTCCTCTCTTTTCACTCTGACCTTTCCTTCCCCACACACACGCTAATTCCTCTTCATTTACCCGCCCCAACCCTCTTTCTCAAAGGTGACCCCATGGAGTGTCTCCCATTCAACGTGCGCTCTCTCTGACTCCCCACCCTTGGTACCCAAGGCCCCGTCTGCTAGCTCCAGCTTGACCCCCAGGCCCATCTGTCAGCACCCGGCCCTGCTCAGGGTCCTCTGCCATCCCACCTCCTAGTCCACCCATTCCCGAGCCGGGCAGGGGACAGCCCTGCAGGACCCTAAGCCGGGGCACTGCTTCCTCCCTGCTCCCCGCCTCTGCTCCCAGCCCTCCCTCGCCAGCCTGCCCATCCCTGCCCATGCTGCCTCTCTGCCAGGGCCCAGGACATTTGTACCTCCTCTCCGGAGCCTTCCAGGACTGCCACCTGAGCCACGTAGTTGGACAACAGCAGGCACACCTTTCCCTGTCTGGCCCCTTACATGACGCACACCTGGATCTTCGGATCCCCAGCACCTGGCCCCGTCTGCACCCGAGTTTGCAGTCTGTTGAATGAATGAATGAATGAATGAACCCCTTCCTCCAAGCAGGGCACGCATTCTATTTGATAAACAAGGAGAGTGCATGTGGGTCACAGTTTGCTTGCCTCGTCCGCATGCCCCAACAGCAACACCAGTCTAATCTGCTTCTGGGATTTGTCCCATCCCCGTGGTGTGTGGCCCTGGTGGAGGGGAATTCTAGGCTCACCGCCTCCGATAGCAGCAACCGAAGGGCCAACGCCAGCTCCACAGGCTCCTGGTTCTCCCTGGGGAGCAGGCAGGCACCCCGACTTCTCTCCTGGGAGCGGCTTCTGGAAGAAGTGACACAGGGTCTCGGCCAGCATTCTTGGTTGCTGGCAATGGCACCAACTTGGGCAGACCGAAGAAGAAAGGGGGATTTATTCCGCAGGAGGTGAGCTAGCTTGCAGACTCATGGGAAGGCTGGCCATTGGGCGCAGAAACGGGCAGGCAGGGCCACAGCGAGGATTCCAGAAAACTGTCCCCAGGGAGCCAGCCCCCTGTGAACACCACCCACCGCGAAGGGCGCCACACCTCCATCCGGAGGCTGGGCGGGGGCACCGCTGTTCTGACCAGCACTGCCCCCACGGTGGACGAGGCTGCTCTCAGCCTCCGACCACCAGCAGAGATGTGCCTCGCCCTCCCCCGCTCCAGGCTGAACCACCTGCCTGTAGAGGATGCTGGGACTGTGCGGGTCCACAGCTCGGTCCACAGTGGGCAGAGGACTCCACCCTCGCTCCATCCCTGCCCAAGCCGAGAAAGGACGGGTCACCAGATGACAGACAGCCAAAAAGTGACAGAAGCCACCAGAGCCAGAGCCAGAGGACGAGGCTGGAGGTCACGGGTTTCGGCCTCGGCAGCCTGCAGGCCAGATGTCTCTGGCCACAAGGCAGTGGCCCTGGTTCCTCCTCTGGGCCTGTGGGAGGGGCCTGGGCTGCTGCCCTCCCGGAGTCAGCTTCTTGGGGCTCCTGCTACTTCTGTGAGCTCCCGACGCCCTGCCAGTAAATTCCTTTTTGCTGAAGTGAGCCCGTGTTAGTGTGTGCCGGCTGCAGCCGAGCAACGCTGAGTGAAACCACATGTAAACAGTGATACGGCTGCGGCCCGGCGCCCCCGCCCCCGCCTCTGGCGGGCTTCTCGGAGGGAGCCACACACGTGCACTGCAGGCCCATTCTCATCAGCCTCCATCCCCAGCAATCAGATTCCATGCTGTTGTATGGGAGACACCTTCCGCCTTAAGACGGGACGAGATTTTATTCGCCATCAAGAAGGGCAAACAGTTGCCAATTAAACCGTGACCCAGCGTGCAGGGCTGTCAGTTGTAAACCACATGTCGATGGCTGGTTAGAGATGCGCAGCAAGACATTCGTGTTAGAGCAGAGAAAGCCGGGGCAGAGCAGCAGCCAGCTGTGCTAGCCCTGGGGGGCGGCCGGGCACTCCCTGTGCGCCCACCGACTCGGCCCACCCCGGCTTCCCGAGGGCGAGAGAGAACTAACCCTGTTGCAGACGAGCAGACTGGGGTGCACACGGGTGCCGCTATTTGCTCAGAGTTACGCATCTAGTAAGTGGCAGGGCCAGATTCAAAACACATCCTGGAGGGAGGGGCAGCATGGTGGCGTAGTGGGGAAAGCCACCACCTGCAGTGCCTGCATCCCTTACAGGCGCTGGTTCAAGTCCTGGCTGTTCCACTTCCGATTCAGCTCTCTGCTTTGGCCTGGGAAAGGCAGCAGAAGATGGCCCAGGTCCTTGGGCCCCTGCACCACAAGGTAGACCCCAATGAAGCTCCTGGCTTCAGCCTGGCCCAGTGTTGGCTGTTGCAGCCATCTGGGGTGCGGACCAACAGATGGGAGATTGTGTGTGTGTGTGTGTGTGTGTCTCCCTCTCTCTCTGCAGCTCTTTCAAAATACATGAACACAATTTTTATAAAAATATTCGGGGGGTGGGGGCGGCGCTGTGGTACAGCGGGTTAATGCTCTGGCCTGAAGCGCCAGCATCCCATATGGGTGCTGGTTCAAGTCCTGGCTGCTCCTCTTCCGATCCAGCTCTCTGCTATGGCCTGGGAAAGCAGTAGAAGATGGCCCAAGGCCTTGGGCCCCTGCACCAGTGTGGGAGACCTGGAAGAAGCTCCTGGCTTCTGGCTTTGGATCAGCGCAGCTCCGGCCGTTGCGGCCAACTGGGGAGTGAACCAGCAGATGGAAGACCTCTCTCTCTCTCTCTCTCTCTCTGCCTCTCCCCTCTCTGTGTAACTCTAACTTTCAAATAAATAAATAAATCCTTTAAAAAGTTTCTAAAAAATATTCTGGGGGGCAGATTGGCCCAGTGGTCAAGACGCTGCTTGGGACATCTGCAGCCCATATCACACTGTCTGGAATCGAGTTCCGGCTCCACTGCCAATTCTAGCTTCCCGCTAATGGCACCCTGGGAGGCGGCAGTGATGGCTCGAGCACTTGGGTCCCTGCCACCCATATGGGAGACCCAGATGGAGATGCTGGGTCCTGGCTTTTGCCTGGTCCAGCCCCAGCTATTGCAGGCATTTAGGGGATGAATAGCAAGTCTCTCTCTCTCTCTCTCTCTCTCTCTCTCTCTCTCTCTCTCTCTCATAAGTACAAATGCTGTGCTGCTCTCTGTGTGGGTGCATGCACGTTTATTTTATCAGTTAAGGAGCATCCTGCTGCAGGTACCACTGTGCACCTTGCTTGTTACGCCCTGGCCCTCGTGGGCACCTGAGCATCAGCACCTTCCCCACTCTTTCCACCTGCCAAAGGGCACGCACCAAAGGCCTTCAGCCGGCCTCCTGCTGATGGGCACTGAGGTTGCTTCCGTTTTCCACTGCGGCGATCAGCAGCCTTCCTTGGGCCACCAGGAGAGCCCAGGGTGCGTCGCTGCACTCACACTGTGCACTGAGGTGTGTGCACTCAAGGTTTTCACAGCCTCACCCAAGCAGGGCCATCGCGCCCATTTGCACTCTCCCAGCAACCAACTCAGGTGCCTGTTCGGGGTTCATTTATACGTTTTTCAAAGGTTTGCATATTTCATTTGAAAGGCAGAGCAACAGAGAGAGAGAGAGAGAGAGAGGTCTTCCATCCTCTGATTCACTCCCTAGATGGCCGCAATGGCCGGAGCTGAGCCAGGAGCCAGGAGCTTCTTCTGGGTCTCCCACGTGGGTGCAGGGGCCTAAGCCATTGGGCCATCTTCTACTGCTTTCTCTGGAGTATTAGCAGGGAGTTGAATTGGAAGTGGAACAGTTGGGATTCGAACCAGTGTCCATAGGGGGTGCTGGCACCACAGACAATAGCTTTACCCGCTAGGCCACAGGGCCAGCTCCCATCTGTGACTTCTATCTCAGCCTCCCCACCACCCAGTTGCAGAAGTGTCTCTGCCTTCACCCTTCCCATCTACTCTAAGGCATTGAGCCCCGCTGAGCTCCGCCCCCGCCCCCAGACAGTCTCCCTCCCTCCCTCGGCATCTGGAACATTCCACGTGGTTGACTGCCCCACACCAACTTCCTGCCTCAGTCACTCACTCCTCCCTCTGTCTTGGTCTGACGGCGGCTTCCCCGGGAGCCACAGCGGCACAGGATGCTGGGAGGAAGGGTATTGACCGACCGTCGGGCAGGCCAAGCTGCTGCAGGGCTTCGCGCGGGGGAGGAACGCGCAGGCCAGACGCTGCCTGGCATTCCAGTGACCTCGGTGGTGTTACTCAGGCCCTTAGGAATCTGCAAGAGGGAAGACGAGTTCAGGAAAGGTTTGGGGATCAAAGCGAACTCCGGGGCAGCCCAGAATCATGGAGGGGACGGGCTCAGGTCTGCCAGAGTGGCAGGCACAGCGCAGACCCCAGGGGAGAGAGCAGAGGAGGGGGAGGCTGCGTAGGGGAAGTGCCTGGAGCTCTTCCCTCCCCCTGGCCTGCCCGCCTCACCCCTACAGGGAGATGGTCCCCTGCGAACAAAGCGGTGAGCCACCCCCTCCCCAAGTTGCCCCTGCGGCGCCAATGCCTGGGAGCCCGGCACTCTCCATGCCCACTCCCCGCTCCTCCTCTGCTCCTCATTCTCCCCCCACCACCCCCGGCATATCCTCGGGCCAGAATCCTGCACCCAGCTCCTGCCTGGACCTGGGTGTCAGGACCACACCTCCTGCTTGGAATTATTTGTTTTTCTCTATTGATCTCGGTTCGACACTGGAAAAATGTATTCTTTGTACAGCATTCCCAAGGGCTTAATTTGTCCGTGTTGGAAGCCTTCTTTAATAGGATTCTGCCCCATTGTTTATTCTGAACATTGAGTTCCAAGAGTCGGGATTCAGCTCTTTTAATAGAAACTCATTACGGGGGTCCCTGCGCATCAGAAAGCTGACAGTGGCGCTGCAAAGAGGAGACAAACGATCAGGCTGCCAAGGGCCCACCTGACCGCCAAGCTTTCGGGGCGCCGTGTCACCACCCAACGCCCAACACCCTCCTCCTGTCCGGGCACCTGGGGGGTGACAGCCACCAGCCAGGCAGCTCCTCCACCCTGACCATTTCCGGCTCTCGAACACCTCTCTGGATTCTCGTCTCTGGGGCACTGGTGCAGACTGGGACTGCCAGGTCTCCTGGAGACAGGCAGGAGGGACCCAGCTGTTGCGTCCAGGACTGGCCAGCTTAGCAGGTGCCATCCAGGCGGGGTACCGCTGTGTGAACCCCCAGTCCCCATTCATTTGTCTCCTTCAGGGGCCATCTACCCCTCTCCCCCAGGGCCGGAGTCTGCGGATGCCCAAAGCTCCAAGGACTCCCACCCCCGGGGTGGTCCAGGGCCCTGTGGTTGGGTGCCTGTGCCAGGCGGGCATCGTGCTGAGCGGGCAGCTGCCCCGGCCAGCAACGTGGTCCTTTCACAGGAGGCCGTGGGAGTGAGCCAGCGGAACAGCGCTCCTGTGGTTCTGAGCGGCTCTACGGCTTCCCCCGCATTAGAAAGAGGGCTGGCCTGGGGCCCCGGGCGCCAAGGGGCGGCCCCAGCGAAGCTCTGGGGCCCAGGACCTTCACTGCAAGGGCAGTGAGGAGAGGGCACGAGCCGGGTGCAGTACTCAGACCTGGGTGCCAGCTGTGGCAGGCAGCCAGCCGGGAGGGGGGGCCCGAGCAAGTGAGCAGCCCTCTCGGGCCTCACTTTGCACCCCGAAACGCTCCCGTCCAGGGGAGCTTTATGAGGCCTCTCTGCAGCGAGGCAGCCTGCAGGTCAGGCACAGCTTAGGCGGGGGCCACGCCTCCGACTCACTCAGACGCTGACCGGGCACGTGACACCGGGAACCACGCGTTCCGTCAGCAAGCACTCACGGAAGCCACTGCGCTCAGCACTGGTGACACCGCAAAGTGTGTTCCAGCCTTTGCCCTGCTGGGAAAAAAGAGACGCTACTCAGACCACAGGAAGCACAAGCATCTATGTGACTGCAACACCGATGGGCCTCTGTGGACAGAGCAGTGAGGCATAGAGAACAGGGAGCGTGTTCCCCAAAGCATCTGAGGAATCGGGGAGGACTTCTCGGAGGAGGTGACCATGGCACTGAGGCTGGAGAGGCAACAGGACTTTCCAGAGGAGAATAATGATGAAAGCACACCCTGGTCTGGTCTCCACATTTCAGGGAACCTTCTTCTCCCCATGAGAGCTCTTTCTGGA